GATGAGATCAACTTCCTCAGAGCCATCTATGAGGCAGTGAGCATCTCTACCCCTTTTCCTTCACTCAGATGGGTTCTGCAGGGTGGGGAGTCATGTCCCCATTGGGCACCTTGGTAAGCAGCCCAGGCCAAGATGACCTTAGGACCTTGTGCTCTGCAGGAACTGTCTCAGATGCAAACCCACATCTCAGACACTTCTGTGGTGCTGTCCATGGACAACAACCGCAACCTGGACCTGGACAGCATCATCGCTGAAGTCAAGGCCCAATATGAGGAGATCGCTCAGAGGAGCCGGGCTGAGGCTGAGTCCTGGTACCAGACCAAGGTGAGCAGTGACTTGGCAGCCGCTAAGGAGGCCCCAGCCCCACCCTGAGCTCGAGAAGCCTCCTGACTTCATGGGGGAATTACTGAAAGGAGGCTAAAGTCCTCTCACAGAAAGTGTACCCCACATGCTTAGAACAGCTCTCAGATATGATGTCCGTGTCTAGGAAGAAGAAGCAGAACCCCCAGGCAGGTGGAAGCTTCCATAAAGGACCAAGTCATCTTTGCTTAAGCTTCACTGTCACTGATGGCTCTCAGAGACACAGAGCACAACTTTGTCAGTCCCTGAGAGATAACTGTCTCTGGTTCCCACCAGGATGTTCTGAGGCTTGGTTCCACCATGTCCAGCCACTTAACATCAACTTTTCTAAAATTCATTGAGGAGAAGCCAATAGGTGGAGATAACTCACTGACTGACTCCGAAGCGAGACAGCATTGTGCACATGTAAAACCCCACGCATTCTCTGTCTCCCTCTCCCCCCTTCACGACAGTATGAGGAGCTGCAGGTCACAGCAGGCAGACATGGGGATGACCTGCGCAACACCAAGCAGGAGATTGCTGAGATCAACCGCATGATCCAGAGGCTCAGATCGGAGATCGACCACGTCAAGAAGCAGGTACAGGGCAGAGACAGGGTCGGGGCTGCTTGTCCATGCAGTCCAGCCTTCTGGGCTCTTCTTCACTGGGCAGGAAGAGCAGGGATGAGCCTCCTGGAAGGCCCAGGCTCCAAGCTCATTTCCTTGCTTCCCCTTGCAGTGCGCCAGCCTGCAGGCCGCCATTGCTGATGCGGAGCAGCGTGGGGAGATGGCCCTCAAGGATGCCAAGAGCAAGCTGGAAGGGCTGGAGGACGCCCTGCAGAAGGCCAAGCAGGACATGGCCAGGCTGCTGAAGGAGTACCAGGAGCTCATGAATGTCAAGCTGGCCCTGGACGTGGAGATCGCCACCTACAGGAAGCTGCTGGAAGGCGAGGAGTGCAGGTGGGTGACACACCCCTCTGAGCACCTGTGGGAGGGGTCTGGCCCTGAGCAGGGGATTGTGGCCAGTAATGATGGGTGCTGTCAGGAGACTCTCTGGATCAGGGGTGGGAGGTCTCCATGAGCCTCGGGTGGAGGCTTCTCCTGGGATCAAGTATGGGCTGTGGAGGGCTCATCCTCTGTGTTCCTCTCCTCCTAGGCTGAGTGGCGAGGGCGTTGGACCCGTCAACATCTGTAAGTACTTGGCTTGTCTGCCTCCCAGTTGTTGACCTTGTGAGCTGGCTCAGGTGACAGAGTGAGCTCACAGTGTCTGTGTCCTGTTGTCCTCCCTACAGCTGTGGTGCAGTCCACTGTGTCCAGCGGCTATGGCAGCGCTGGGGGTGCCGGCAGTGGCTTCGGACTGGGCGGAGGCAACAGCTACTCCTACAGCAGTGGTCACAGCCTTGGAGGTGGCTTCAGTTCTGGCAGTGGCAGAGGCATCGGGGGTGGCCTCAGCTCCTCTGGTGGCAGCAGCTCCACCATCAAATACTCCTCCACCACCTCCAGCAGGAGCTACAAGCACTGAAGTCCTGCACTGGCCCTTGTCCCACCCTGCTCAGCCCTCTGGTGTAGAGCCCTCTGCTCAGGATCTTTTCCTCCTCTGCCTCCACCTCTGCTCTCTAGCTGGGGCTGCGGAAGGCCCCTGCCCTCCTGGCTCCTCTGTCTACCTGCTCCTCAGAGATCCAGTGGCTCCCCTCAGAATGTCATCCTCTGATCTCACATCATGGTTCAGTCACATCTGGTGTCTCACTTTATTACCTAGTTATCAAGGTTTTGCCTTTATAGCTCTCCCTGAGGCTGAGCATTACAAGAACATTGTCTCTGTCCTCTGATTCCAGAAAGTCTTGCCTGAAGCACAGTCAAGAATTCACAAACAGGCAGATTCCCTTCAATTTCCATTGACCCAAGAACACCCCATCTTACCGGGTTGTGAACCTCTTTTGTAATAACTGTGGAAACACAAGTGATGAATCCTATGATGTACAGAATCTGTATCTCTGTATTGGTTTATCTTCTCTTTGCTTTCTTCCTGTTTGTTTCTAATTGCTAAATAAAGCAGATTTATACTATAATGTGTTGTTCAGGTTGCCTTTCTTTCAGGCCATATGTTCTTAACTTTTTCATATGATAAATTTCTTATCATTTAAAAGATAACCATTCCCCACATACCTCACTCCCCTCCTTTATAGATATTTATCAAATAGAGTTTTGCTATCTTGATGTTCAAGGTCCCATCCCACATCATTTTCATTGATGTTTTTCACAAGCAAGTGGAGGAATCTGGTCTATTTTTACTGTCCATGCTAGGACATTACTGTCTTTATCTCTCCCAATGCCATATGTCCAGTTGGAGAAATATGGTTGGTCAGTTAGTCTATAAGTCGTTAGACAAAAAAATAAGATATTTGATTTCTAATTAGAATTGTTTTCATGACCTAGAGACTTGCCTGACATAAGGTTCAAGAGCATTTGAAGTGTGCATCCTTCTAAGTCAGAATTATACTTGTACAAATAGATCTTGAAGAAATAGTACCAACACAGAAAGCTGTACATAACATGATGTGCATCACAACATCATCACAACTGGAGAAAATGGAGAAATTTGAGGTAGTCAAATGAAGGACTCAAAGATTAAGGCCAAAATTCAAATTTCTTGTTATATAATGGCAACAAAAGAATATTCCCTCCTTCTCACACTCTTGGCTTCTCATGGAGACTCAAAGAAGCAGAGTCTATGTTGATAAGAGAGATGGATCCATCCCTGTGTCAGGAGTGAATTGTCCTGGTTTAATTTCTATGAATGGTTAAGAGGAAACTCCAAATAAAATTCAAGGTTGGTCAGTTGACTTGTACTATCCTGAGGCTATATCAATCCCTGTGGACCCCATAAGTGACAATTATTTTCCTAATCCTCAGGTTCTCATATTACCGTAGAAATTTGCATAGATTTTTATTGTAGTTTTTGGATCCTTCAATATCATTATCTGCTGTGTTCACCTCTTACTGTCCCCGCAGCAACACAGGCAGCTTGTCACATTGCCACCTCCTCATTTGTTGACCTTGTGAGCTGGTTCAGGTGACAAAATTTAATATCGTTGCGCATGGGCATTAAAAACACAATGAAGGAATACTACAAACAACTCTATGTCAAAATTGATTCAAAAAAGGTTAAACCAGCCAGATTTCTCAAAAGGATAATCAGAATATCCACAGACCTATTGAATAAGTTAAATCACTAATAAATAAGCTTCTGAAAAGAAAGCACTGAGGTATATTCTTATTGGTTAAGTCTACCTTCATTTAAAAAATGAAATGGAACCAAATCTTTACAGCCTCTTCCAGGAAATGGAAGCAGGGGGAGCACTTTCTGATTCATTCTTTCTAGGCCAGTATTATTCTGACACCCAAACTAAATAATGGCAATTCAAGAAAGGAACACTGCCAACCAGACCTCTTATGAATATTGACATAAAATGTTCAATGAAATGTGCCATATTTATTCCTACCAAGTATACAAAGAATTATATACCATGTCCTCTTGGGAGTTGTTCTAGATATTCAAGGCTAGTTCAACAGAAACCATTCAATGTGATTTACCACATCCAAGAGCTAAATAAGAAAAATCAGATGAAAATAGCAATCAATGCATAAAAAGGTGTATGATATAATTCAATACCCAATAATGTTCAGAAACCCAAAAATAATGTCCTAGCAAATGGGGAATAAAGGGCAACATTCAACTTGGTAAAAATAATATTATCCTACATCCCTTTTCCCCTAAGATTGAGAACAAGATGAGAGTATCCCCTCTCTCCACTGTTATTCACATTGTACTGCAACTCTAACTAAAACAATGAGGTTACAAAAAGCAATAAAATTATACATATTAGAAATAAAGAAATTAAACTCTCTTTATTCTCCTATAATATTATGTAGAAAATCTGAAGAATATATCAAAAATCTCCCTGTAAGTAATAAGCAAGTATAAGCAAAGTTATAAGATAGAAGATTACTCTATAAAATAAATAATTTTTTACATACTAGCAATGAAAAACTGAAATTTCAAATTAAAAATCAATGTCATTCATAATAACAATAAAGATAGAGTGTTTAGGCCTGAATCTAACAAAACATGTAGAGAATCTATGACTAGAAAACCAGATTCTGAGGAAAGTACCGATGAAAGCAATCAAAGATCTAAATAAATGAAAAGATATCCTATGTTCATGGATCAAAAGATTCAACGTTATTAAACTGTCAATTCTTTCTAACTTAAGATGTAATCAACACAGTCCCAATTTAAATTCTGATAAGCTATTTTGTAAGTATCAACAAAATAAATAAAGTTTATATAGCAAGGCAAAAAAATTTTTGCAAGGCAAATAGGTGAAACATAGGACACACTATTAGTGAAATCATGAAATTATGATTTTGTAAAACGTTTAGAATTTTCTTTAATTTTTTTTTATTGAACATCTTTCTAAAATAAACTATGAGAAAGCCATTCTAATTCAATGCAAGAGATGCTGAAAAATTCAAGATTAACATTCATTATTAGCAATGTAAAACAGAGGGAAAGATCCGTGAATTGGGCTCATGGAATTCTGCCCCCATGGGAGACGGCAAGGTCAAGCCGAAAGCCATCAATGGGAAAGATGAAGAAAGATGGGCTCTCAGATCAGGGGTTTCTGGCTAGAAGCTGTTCCTTGCTCACTGTCAATTTTTTTCTCCCAGCCCCCTCAGGCTGATTCTTTAGGCTAAGATGGTGGAGATGGTGTTTGCTGTAGTCGAGAAATAAAGTGGCAGGCTGAACCCAGGGGTAGTGCTGAAAAGCTTCCCTGAGTCACGCTTGGCTCAGGCTTCTCCAGGGAAGACGGACAGAGGAGCTGGTCCAGGTGGCAGGACATGCCTGGATAGCAACGAGAGAGAGAGAGAGTCTGCAATGCTCATGCAAGGGACAGCAGTCCAAACCCTATCATGCTTAAGCAGATGGAGTCTGACAAAGACTTGCCCTAACCTGTCTCCCATGCGGGACTGAGGATGGAACTACCTCATTCAGCAAATTAGCCCCAAGTCGGAGCATTGATTCACGGTTCCTATCAGAGCAGGCATCATCTCTGAAGTCTCTGGAAATCCAGATCCCTCCATTCCTCAGCTGCTTTCTCAAGGCTATCCCCACCCCCACCCTGCCACCCCTGCCCAGTCTCACCAGAGGGAGCTTTCCAAAGTTCTCCGCCAGGGATACCTCCTTCAGCTGTGTGCATGTCCAAAAGCTTTGAGAGATGGAGATGAGCCAGAAACCACATGGGGTCTGTCTCCCATGGTGTCCTGTCCAACACTGGGCTACCCTGACCCCCGCTCTTCTTTTATTTTTTAAATTATTATTTTCATTGACAAACCATAAATGTTTACATTTATGGGATACAATAAGATGTTTTGATATTTGTACAATGTGGTTTGATTAAATCAAACTAATTAACGTATTCATCGCCATGCTAACCATTTTTCGCAATGAGACATTTGAAATTCACCATCCTAGTTATTTTGAAGTGTACTGTATGTCTGCATTGACTATCATCACCCTGCTGTGCAATAGATCCTCTTGTCTAACAGAAAATTAATCCCCTTAGTCCACGTAACCTCAGCCTCTGGTAACCATCTCTGTACTTTCTACTTCTGTTAAGTTCAGCTCTTTATATTTTGCATTTAAGTAGATCAACAATATTTTTCCTTCTATGGCTGACTTGTTTCACTTAGCATAATGTCCTCCAGCTTCTTCCACTTTTTTGAGCAATTTTGTTTCACAGCAAAATTGTTAAGAAGGTACAGAGATTTAGACCATATATTTTATAGCCACAAATTTATAACTTCACACACTGTGAGAATGGTACATTTGTTAAAATGGATGCATCTACTACACTGGCATGCCATTATTATCCAAAGTCCTTAGTTCACATTAGAATTCACTCCTGGTGTTGTACCTTCTTTGGGTTTTGAAAAATGTATTATCTACTATTTTAGTATTATACAGAATAGTTTCATTATCCTAAAATCTGCTGTACCTCATTTACACACTCCTCCCCCCAATCCCTGGAAACCACTGATCTTGTTACTTTCTTCGGTTTACAGAATATAATATAGTTGGAATCATGTGTAACCTTTCAGATTGGCTTCTTTCACTCAATAATATGTATCCAAGTTCCTTGAAATCTTTTCTTGGCTTGATGTTCATTTTTTCTTAATGCTAACTAACATCCATTGTCTGGAGGTACCACAATGTGTTCATCTGTTCAACAACTGATGGGCATCTTGGTTGCTCCCAAGTTTGGGCAATTAGGAATAAAGCTTCTATAAACAGTCATATGCAAGTTTTTGCATTGGCATGTTTTCAACTCATTTGGGTAAATACCAGGGAATGTGATTGCTGGATTGTATGGTAAGAGTATGTTTGGTTTTGTAGGAAACTGCCAATCTCGTCCTCAGTGGCTATATGATTTTGCATCCCTGCCTCCCCACCCCCACCCTGCCCCCCCCCTTCCCAGCAATGCATGAGAGCTTCCTGTTCCATAGCCTTGCCACGCATTCCAGTTGCTGGTGTTCTGGATTTTAGCCATTCTCCCAGTTGTGTGGTGACACCTCATTGTTGTTTTTATTTGCAGCTCTCTGGTGGCATGTGCTATCAAGCACCTTCTTATCTGTATTTGTCTTACGTTTGTTTTGTTCAATGCAGTGATGTTTTGCTTGCTTGTTTGGTTGGGTTTGTTTTTTTCTTTTCTTTTCTTTTTCTTTCTGTTTTTTTTTTTTTTTTTCAGTGCTGGGGATCAAACCCAGGTCCTTGTACATGCTAGGCAAGTGCTCTACCACCTAACTACATCCCTAACTCTAGTGAGGGGTCTTTAAAGGACTTTGGCCCCTCTTATAATCATGTTGTTTCTTATTGTTGAAATTAGGGTTCTTGGTACATTTTGGGTATATTCTTTATCAGATATGTCTTTTGCCAATATTTTCCCCTAGTCTATGAACTGATTTCTCATTCTCTCAATGCTGGCTTTCACAGACAAGTTTTAATTTT